CGTGCACAAACAACATTAATAACATAATAACTCTCTTATTCATGTTGTTTGTGCACGCAGCACAGGGCGGGCGGGCGTGCGGTGTACTTGTGTGTTGCAGATGAGCATTTTAATAGCATTTACAGGTGATTATAGGTGGAATAGAGTAGAGAAACATTAAGACTTTGGTACATTTCTTGTTTATTTACCATTAATTTTTTTTATTGAGACGTTCCAAGTGCCTGTGGTTATGCCGTCACTGGGTGACTGACATATAGAGGGCTGGGTCATGATCTGATACAGTTGTTAAAGCCAATATGCTGCATTTGTTGCATGGGGCTTCAGTCAGTGACACATATAAATGCATCCTGAAACTAATGCTAAGAATTTTAATTGTAAAACAATCAGTTCCCACACCGGGAATCGAACCCGGGCCGCGGCGGTGAGGGCGCCGAATCCTAACCACTAGACCATATGGGAGCAACTGATTCTATGTTTACAAAGCCAAACTGTGTGGTTAACTAAGTAAATACATCTACACACCCTAGTTATGTTGCCGTACATCACCCTCTGGTTGGTTGGTACCTGGCTTATATATTGTTGGTGCCTGGGAGATGTTACTGCAGTTTGTTACATTGAACAGGCAGAAAAGACCTTAATATGACAGGTGGTGTCATCTATTGGGAAAACTAAAGTAAACTGTCGGAGTGAAGTTGAGGATACTGTTAGGGTTACAGACCGGTAACACTGTAAAGGCCATTGCAACCTAACTACTCAGCAAATTCAATCAAACTCATATCCATTACATACGAGAGATGTTTTTCTATGCTCTTGATGGAGTTTTTTTTTACAAATTCATTGCAAATTAATTGACAGCAAAAATTGTGAATTTATACAAAAACATTCTTTGTTTGCTATTTTTTAGAAACAGCAAAGAGTTGGGACCTACACTTTTAACCATGTTGTTCATCATATGAACTAAAAAAATGTCCCTGGAATTTTTTTAAATGCTTTAATTTAGGAAATAAGTTGAAAAGATATACAAAAATTTGTAGTGAATTTCTAGACGCAACAATTTCGTAAACAAAGAGCCATAACTCATAAAATAAAATATTTAAAAAAAATTCCAGGGACCCTTTTTTTCTTTGATATGTTAGCATTGAAATGTAATAAAAAAATTTGGAATCGGAGTTGCAAGTTTTGAGAAATAGCGCTTGAAAAAACACCTACTTTAGTATTTTTAACAACCGAGATATCAGCACTTTTCTAAATTTCCCATCATTGAACGCCTGTGATAAGAATTGACTAATGCGGGGATTTGGAACTGTTTGGGAGGCTACATAAAAACTAAGATTCATACATATAAAAATATCAGTTCCCACACCGGGAATCGAACCCGGGCCGCGGCGGTGAGAGCGCCGAATCCTAACCACTAGACCATATGGGAGCAACTGCCTTTATGTTTACAAAGCAAAACTGTCTGGTTAACTAAGTAAATACATCTACACTCCCTAGTTATGTTGCCGTACATCACCCTCTGGTTGGTTGGAACCTGGCTTATATGTTGTTGGTGCCTGGGAAATGTTACTGCAGTTTGTTACATTGAACAGGCCGAAAATGCCTTAATATGGTAGGTGGTGCCCTCTATTGGGAAAACTAAAGTAAACTGACAGAGTGAAGTAAAGAGTTACTAACAGCTGAGAATGTAATCGCGTTATTACATAATGTTATGCCCACAGGCACTTGGAACGTCTCAATAAAAAAAATTTATGGTAAATAAACACGAAATGTACCAAAGTCTTAAGTCTTACCTGTAAATGCCGGTCAAATGCTCATTTGCAACACACAAGTACACCGCACGCCCGCCCGGCGCCCGCCCTGTGCTGCGTGCACAAACAACATGAATAAGAGAGTTATTATGTTATTAATGTTGTTTGTGCATGCAGCACAGGGCGGGCGGGCGTGCGGTGTACTTGTGTGTTGCAGATGAGCATTTGACCGGCATTTACAGGTGATTATAGGCGAAATAGAGTAGAGAAACATTAAGACTTTGGTACATTTCGTGTTTATTTACCATTAATTTTTTTATTGAGACGTTCCAAGTGCCTGTGGTTATGCCGTCACTGGGTGCCTGACATAGAGGGCTGGGTCATGATCTGATAGAGTTATTAAAGCCACTATGCTGCATTTGTTGCATGGGGCTTCAGTCAGTGACACATATATGCTTACTGAAACTAATGCTAAGAATTTTAATTGTAAAACTATCAGTTCCCACACCGGGAATCGAACCCGGGCCGCGGCGGTGAGAGCGCCGAATCCTAACCACTAGACCATATGGGAGCAACTGATAAGGATCAACAGCAAATCTGTGCCACGCAATCTTGTATCATGTCTCTCTGGTTATGTTGCCGTACATCACCCTTTGGTTGGTTGGAACCTGGCTTATATGTTGTTGGTGCCTGGGAGATGTTACTGCAGTTTGTTACATTGAACAGGCAGAAAAGATCTTAATATGACAGGTGGTGCCATCTATTGGGAAAACTAAAGTAAACTGTCGGAGTGAAGTTGAGGATACTGTTAGGGTTACAGACCGGTAACACTGTAAAGGCCATTGCAACCTGGCTAACTACTCATCAAATTCAATCAAACTCATATCCATTACATACGAGAGATGTCTTTCTACGCTCTTGATGGAGTTTTTTTTTACAAATTCATTGCTAATTAATTGACGGCAAAAATTGTGAATTTATACAAAAACATGCTTTGTTTGCTATTTCTCAGAAACAGCAAAGAGTTGGGACCTACACTTTTAACCATAAGTTGTTCATCATATGAACTAAAAAAAGTCCCTAGAATTTTTTTTAAATGCTTTAATTTAGGAAATAAGTTGAAAAGATATACAAAAATTTATAGTGAATTTCTAGACGCAACAATTTCGTAAACAAAGAGCCATAACTCATAAAATAAAATATTTAAAAAAAATTCCAGGGATCTTTTTTTTCCTTTGATAAGTTAGCATTGAAAGGTAACAAAAAATTTTGGAGTTGTAGTTGCGAGTTTTGAGAAATAGCGCTTGAAAAAACACCTACTTTAGCATTTTTAACAACCGAGATATCAGCACTTTTCTAAATTTCCCATCATTGAACGCCTGTGTTAATAATTGACTAATGTGGGGATTTGGAACTGTTTGGGAGGCTACATACATAATTTCTACGTATACATAGCTGCCCATGGCTGCGATCTATCAAATAAAGTAGGTATTGAAATTTCGATTAAAATTCACCTCCCAACCGTTACACTATCCTTAATGTCTTACTAAAGCTGGGTTTACACTACCGACTTTATGTTCTCAAATTGATGAATTGGATCAATCTCGCAACTATACGTAATAACCGACAATCGGCAGTGTAAACGCAAAAGTTGTGCGAGCAACTGGTCGATAGCAACTAGTTGGTAGATTATTTTCGCCAACTAGTTGCTATCGACCAGTTGCTCGCGCGACCTTTGCGTTTACACTGTCGATTGCCGGTTGTATAGTTACAAAATTGGTCCAATTTGACAACATAAAGCTGGTAGTGTAAACCCAACTTAATAGGTCAGAATGTAATCATGTTATTACAGAATGTTATGCCGTGACTGGGTGACTGACATAGCGGGCTGAGTCAGGATCTGATACAGTTATTAAAGCCACTATGCAGCATTTATTGCATGGGGCTTCGGTCAGTGACACATATGCTTACTGGAACTAATGCTGAGAGTTTTACTTGTAAAACAATCAGTTCCCACACCGGGAATCGAACCCGGGCCGCGGCGGTGAGAGCGCCGGAATCTAACCACTAGATCAAATAGGAGCCACGG